GACATTTGAAAAAATACCTCCAGGATTGACTCCATAGGGTTCCAACAAAAAGCCTTACTTAGCCCTGGTAATGACTAACATAACGACGAACTGAAGATCCCCATGTTTATGGAAAATCACGACTCATGGTGATTTTCCATTGTAATGTTAGTCATTACTAGACCTGGAACGTCTTAGAACCATTTAAGGGTGCCTTGAATCGCAAAGAAATGGAGATTTATCCATAGATTTAATGGAACTGCAATGTGTTTAGCCATCTACCTTGTGTTTGGTCCGTCACTTTGAGGCACACTTGGTCTTTTTGGCGGGGAGAGATATACCTTGTTGGGCCAAAAAAAACGCAACATATACCCTCTGGTAAACTAACATAACTATGGAAAATCACCATTTTTAATGGGAAAATCCACTATAAATGGTCATGTTCAATAGCTATGTTAGTCATAACCAGAGGGTATCCAATGATGAAGTGGTGGTTTGGTCCGTCACTTAAAATGCCACATTTTGCAGCCACCGGACATTGGATGATCAGCCCTGACGTATGGATTTTTTTTGGGGGATAGGATTGGAATAGGAGAAGGTCTGAAAGATACAAGTATGGAGAAAAATGATGAAAAATGCATATGTCCAGTTCAAGAGCTTTTATTATACTACTTGCATCTACTTGCTCAGAATTCATGTGTTTTTTTAAATGGTGCCAAATCTCAGGCAATGGTTGGGTTTGCACCACGGGGATTTGAATATTCCCATGGGAAACTCACACCTCAGTTTGGGTCCTTGGCACAGGAAGTACATTGGTTTCATCATCGACGACTCGGTGGGTTTGGCCTACGCCTTGTGGTATCACCCAGCATCCCAGGCCGGCCAGGCCTACCTTCGGGTGCCCCCGGAGGTCCTTGGAAGGTCCGAGCCCGCCGATGCCGATGCCGAGGACGTGTCGAAGGAGCGAGCTGTTCGAAGTGGGCCGATCTCGTGGGGAATTCCTCGGGCATTGAGGTGGTGGATTGTTGCTGGGTTCTGATTTACAATGGTCTTTGGTGCGCGTGGCAATGGAAAATCACCAAGGAAAACATGGGAAAAATAAAAAATCAACACATATTCAGATACATGGGGGGATTTGCTGCCAGAGTAATGTCAACCCCGGATTACTTGATTATCAATTGGGGGTTAGTAATCATTAATCCTGGGTTAACATGGAAGATTCCCAAGACATTGGATGAGGATCCCTACTTGATTCATTGTTGGGATACATAGTTTGGAGGGTGAAATATGGTCATGAAAGCCAGGATCATGAACCCCATGAAGCCCGAGATGATGACTCATAAGTTTCATGTTGATTCATGGCCGGGGATGAAATCTTAACATATCTTGACCATTGTTGTAGACGATGTTCTCGGATTTTCCCAAGCAAAATCATCCCCAAGGTTGCCGCCACAGTTCTGCTCATGGCACTCATGAGTTTGCTGGTTCGGAGCCACGCCGAACGCATCACCCGTCTCTAGTCAGGCCTGGCCTCCAGTCGTTGTCGTCGACTCCTGGAAAAGAGCCGTTGAAAGTGGTCAGGTCACATGGACACCACCATCAAAAATGGGGGGTGTTGCCAAGTTGAAGCAGCAAGAGCGGATGTTTACCATCAAACATAATACCCTCTGGTAAACTAACATAGCTATGGAAAATCACCATTTTTAATGGGAAAATCCACTATAAATGGTAATTTTCAATAGCTATTTTGACATAACCAGAGGGTAGATGTTTTCCAGTAAATTTTCCATCAAACCAATTCTGGTAAGCGTGGTGAAGCCAATCATGGCGCTGGCACTTGGGAGATAGGAACCATTTCAGGTCGAATTTTACAGATGGCTTCACACGCCAAGTGGTCCAGTTGGGTTTCCCAGCCAGTTCCTAGGGCGATTGGACTTTTTGATTTGTCCGGAAATGCACAGGGAGCCCATTTTTTGGTCAAGACTCAAGTCCCATGGGAAATCCATGGAAATCCAAAATTGGGGATGTTTGATGAGGCGGGCCTCTTGTACTCCGGTATTGCTCGCAGCTGGGGCCCAGCTTCTTAGAAAATACATGAAAAGGCCACGAGAAGCAGTGCGATAGGTGCAGACATATGCCAATGGATGCTACCCAGTAAGCTACCCATTCCTAATCAAACTTGCCATTGCAACATAATCACTGACTCACCAGCTTTTTCATCGACATTTCTGGACATTTTCCAATCCCAAAGGACAGTAATTTTGGGCCGGTATTCGCCGGGTTTGCCAATATTATATAATTTCCAGCTTGAAAAAGATGGAATGGCATTCTGAATCACATTGGCAAAAAAATGCATGATCCTAACCTCGTTGTTCTTTTCTGTTTGGCTGCCCGAATGGGTGACATTTGGCTTCTTGAACATTGTACTATAGTACCGTACCATTAAATTCACTTGTTAATCATCATGTTCGGCGTCCGCATTGCAAGTGTTCGGACATAATATAATCATCACATTTTCAGCACCAGCCCCAATAATATAATTTTTCATGATACTCAGAATCCCATTTTATACAATATCCCGCCATACCATCAGGGTTAGCTGGATCTCGTTTTTTTTTTTGTGCTCAAAATCTCCATAAACTTCTGGAGCTCGGGGGCATCTAAGTCCATTTTTCGACATGTCAGCCTCTGCTTGATGCCGATGAACCACCTGCCGCGTCGTCAAGGACAGAGCTACCCAGGGCGAAGGATGGGATTAGCCAGTCAATTCACAGTTTGACCCCGCCATGAGCCGGGGTTGGAAGATGAGTAAAACAGTGAAACCACTAAAAAAAATGGTTAACCATGGTTAAGAGTGGAAACGAAGCCTCATCTTCCAACCCCTGACTCATGGCAGGGTCAAACTGTGAATTTATTTTCTAGAGGGTATAAGGGGATGAATCTGGAAAATGAACCCAAGGATTTTTTAAGGGGATTTAGTATGGGTACAAAGCAATTATCAATTGTGTGAGGTGGTGCCCCCCCAGTTGTTGGTTTATGTTGCCCCCATCAGTTCAATATATCATCTACATCCACCCACTATAAAGCCAGTTTCTGGACTGATGTGATGTTTGCCAACTTCGCCAATGAACTGGGGCACCTACGCCAATTTTTCAGGATCACCTAGGGTTTCAGGATGAATATGACTGTAGCGTCACTGGAATGATGGTTAGGATTCGGGGAATCATCCCCAAATTGTTTTTCTGTAGTTTTTTTTTTCAGGCTAGTGAACTACTACAATTCACCCACATAAATTCTCGAATTTTCGCTGTATAATTACCAGTTGTTTTAATTTAACAACTTTGAAGTCGTTTTTGCCTCAATCTTTTTGAGGATTTGTTTTGCAGTTGGATTTCTTCATCTGATTTCAATGTGTTTTGTTTCCAACTGACAGTCATTCAACCGCCCAAATAGCCGTCAGGAAAAGTTCTTGTGGAAGGCTATGGTGGAAGAGGTCAGTCAGGGCAACCCGGGTGTAGTATCATAGCAACCTCGAAAAAGAGAACCCGATATAAGCCGATCCCAAAATAGTGTTAAACGGTTAAACGGTTAAACTGTTAAACAATTTTTCTCTCGTTTTAAGGGCTACTAAAGAATCAACCTGTTGGTTTATCAGGGACGCCGGTAGGGATGGATGATTTTTCTTGGGGGAAACTTAGGATGACAATTATTGGGCAATTTAATTTGTTTGGAAACTTGACTCGGATTGGAATTACCGTACTTCTATGGGCTTAAAGTTATCGACTCCCAAGTGGAACCCTGCAGGGTGGCTATTCGGAACCGGACCGCGGTGACCTTGAAGCCATCACTCTGAAGGAGGACCGCTGATTTGACCATGAAACATGGTGATTTTTGATAGGTTTTTCAGCCCTTGTTTTTTGAGATGTTTGGGGATTGATTGATTCATGGTGGATTTTTCTTCAGATTTGGGGGTTCGAACGAAAAATGGTTGACTTTTCAACCAAGTCGGGTTGTTTTCCAGCCACCAGTCAGTGGTGAGCCCATCCGGATTTAACCATCAAACATGGGGATTTAACCCACAGCAAAAATGTTGGTAAAATGGAGATATATGATGAAAATCAAATGGGCAATTCCGAATTCCACATTGGCTTCGAGGATTTCCTCATCAAAACCGCCATTTCTTCAAGATATTTTCCATTACCATGTTTGATTACCGGAGGGTATGCCCTCAAACTTGGCAATTTATGGAAAAACAAAAAAATCGAGGGGAGTTAGGACGGCACTCAGAAATCACTCGTGTTGGTGTATTGTTGGTGATGTTGGCACATGTTGGCAGATGTTGGCAGATGTTGGTATGTATGATTTTGAATCCAGTCTGGCTAAGAATGAACTTGGGAGATGGTTACCGCATGACGACTTGGTCGTGTTCAAGAAGAAAAGCAGTTTTACAAATGAGCAGTGTTCAAAACCGCTATTGGTTGATGTGGTTTCTTTTTTTCTGGTGGGAGTGGGTCGATATATATTGGAGATGATATGAGATGATCATCATCCATGACCTGGGAATCCCGTTCTTAACCAACCAACATGAAATGGAACGAGACTTGGGAATTTTGGATCTTGAGTTTCACGCTGATCAAACCAAGGGTAATGACGGAACGATTTTCTGCACGGTGATCTTTGCTGTATCACCTCCTGGCTTCCGATGTATGGTGCATCGGTTGCTTGCGGCAATCTTGATGGTTCATGTTGATCGCTCAACCAGCCAATTACTCTCTGGTAATTTAACATAGCTATTGAAAATGGCCATTTATAGTGAGTTTTCCCATTAAACATGGTGATGGTATTGAATTTACAGAGCATCAATCTGCGCAGGAAGGGAACAACTACCTCAGAGCCGGAGAACCCGAAAATGCCTTGGATTGCTACCAGAGATCCCTGGCGCTTTTAGGCCGGCTTCAGTTCTCGCATGGCTCCGGAACATCTAGGCGGATGATCGCCGAAATCTCAAGTAAGTTTCACTTCATGACTACTTGAAGACTGAAATTGACTTAAATCTTGTGACGGTTGCAATTTTGATGGTTGTGTTTTTTGTCTTTGGATCTTTGATGGTTGGTAAACCTACGATCAGACAAGGCGGCAAAGAGGCCTCCGGAAGGGAGGCGGCCACAGTGCCGGGCATCTCGGGGAAAGTGGGGGAACATGGGAAGATGTGGTGAAAATGCTGGAAAAAGTGGGTGAAAATGCCAACGACCATGTGATCTGTTGGTGGATGTTGAAATTGTTGGTTTTGTTTTTTTCCTTTTTTAAGGTGTGGGTATGGGTCAATACCTATAGATACATTTTTAGTGGGATGAACATCCATTTACCCGCTATTTTGGGGTTCACCAGGGGTACCAGGGTTTTGACCCATCCCCATGTGACTGGGGAAGGATAAATTGAGAAATCACAGGTGGTAGTACTGGTAGCACGTGGCGAGGTGAACTCGCCAACAAGACATGGTCATGGGAGTACCCTCCGGTTATGTCAACATAGCTATGGAAAATGGCCATTGAAATAGTGAGTTTTCCCATTAAAAATGGTGATTTTCCCATAGCTATGTTAGTTTACCAGAGGGTAATGGGAGTAAAAGCATCAAAACCCAGGGTTCAGCAGGATCCTCTACCCTCCGGTAATCAGCTCCACGGCTTGCTGGAAGATACCCCATGGGGTTCGATGATTTTCCCAGCTTCACTAAGCTCCATTGGGTGAAAGAATTTCCCAGCCAGCCATGTTTGAGGGCCGAAGGGTGACCATTCAACAGCTCATGGCCATGTGTCAGTGAAGTCTCACCAGGATCATCAAAACAATCAGGAGATATCTTTGTCCAAAGAATGGGTTATTTAAATATATTATATAGATCATATATAGATCATATATAGATCATATATAGGTTAATCATGCTTAACCCGCAAAAAAGATCGTCAATTCATCTTCATAGGGAATAAATATACCCGTTATGCTTGGAATTCCATTCATAATGGTGGGACTAGTTTTCATGGGGGCAACAAAAACCAACAAACATCGCTGGGTGACCTCCGTTATTGATTGCTTAAGTCCGGAGAAAACATGATTGTTGATGGTCAAACCACACGTTGTTTATCCATTTTTTTCAGCATCTGTTTCATCAAGAAATGTCGCGCTTTTCGCCAAGGTTGGGCAACATCAGTGCAGCACATGCCAGCCTTCACAATCCGCGCGCTTCTCTGCAGGTCTGTCCAGCAGTGGCTGCGATCTACCCAATCTACCCCTGTTGGTTGATGATTGCATGGGGTTATAATTTATAACTAATGGTACGATTCAATATATTGAAAGAGAGGGAGGATGAGTGAATGAAAATAATTTATAGAAATGAACAACCCGTTCTCAACCGGTCAGTATCAAGGGACAACAGAGGGTTTGAACATGTTTGAACATTGCTCAGCTGAAGTGACAGGAAGCGAAATACCAATTTCAGTGACCCAAGTACATCTGAATCTGAAAACTAGAGAGGTAGCTTACTCATCCTTCTTGATTTTTCACCTTGGCACCGTCTGTCACTGCATCCAAAGGGCCATGGGCGGGTTGACCACATGATGAAGTCAGTAGTCTTGCTACTTATTTAAGTCATTCTTAATATGACATTTGGCCATCATGAACAAGAAGCATTATCACTTATTATCATTGCTTAAAATGATCGCTATCATTATAGTAACCTCCAAAAAGTATACCCTCTGGTAAACTAACAGTTTGCTATTGAAAATTGCCATTTATAGCTGAATTACCCATAAAAAAATGTGATTTTCCATAGCTATGTTAGTTTACCAGAGGGTACAAAACAACAGTTGGAACCGTGGAACTTTTGGGGAAAACAGCAACAAACTACCTACGATACCATCCTGGAAACAGAATTCTCGGCATGTTTCTCTGCGTTGCTAAAAAATTGGAGGGCATCCCACGGATGTAAGCGGTTATATAATACTATATATTTATATTCAATTACATAGATAGATAAATAAATAGATAAATAAATAAATAGTATATATATATATATATATGTATAGATACATATGATATGGTCATAACCCATGGGATAACCCACGAAACAGGGACAAATATTTTCACCAGGGACTTGTTCATCGCCAGGCAGCTCGCGCGGCTGGTGTGGCAGATCCCTCGTACAGCAAAGCCCTGTTCCGGGAAGCCAAGGCTGGGATTTTTTCACCAAAAATGAGGTGATTTTTTTTTTAAATGTTTTTTGGGGAGAAATACTACCATTTTTTGTTTTTTTTGGGAAAAAATGTGGTGATTTTTCGAAAAAAAAATGGTGGTATATAATAGGGGATGATTGATGGGGATTTCATAAATAAAAATGGAGATTAAGCCAAGAATGTTAACAAGATGGGAATTTCGCCAAAACGGGTGATTTTTCATCAACATGGTGGTTTTTCATGGGATGGCATGATGTTCAAAATGGTGGCTCAACCGTCCGCCGGTTCCTCATATGGTTGAGGTTGTCCACAGAGGAGGTCATCAATCGATAGGGATTTGTATCCATCATGGGAGGACCATACCCCAAACGTATTTTTGTTAGCTGGAAATCGAGAGGGTGCATCCCTTGGAAATGATCCATCCATTTATGATGGATTGTCCATATCTCTGTGAGTTTACTGGAGCATCCCATGATATTCCAACTGCATTCCAGCTAGCTGTTAGATCTGTTAGTTGTAACGCATTAATGAAATAACGCTATTGGCTTGTTGCTCAAGCCCACATAAAAAATGGTTGCCCCATCATTCATATCTCATCATATCTCATCATACTATATTCTTTATCAAAGTAGAATATCCTATAAATCCATATGCAGTATATAGTATAATTATATCCATGGGGAACATCCATGGGGAAAATCATTTATAAAGCATAATATATTCTATTTTCCCAGCACTTCCCCATGATTTTCCCCATGGTTTTTGACCTATCCCCCGTCTCTCAAGAGGCGCTCCTGGCCCTTCGAGAGCCCAGCGATGCAGTGCGCGCAGCCGGGCACCAAGACATGAGGGATCATCCCATGTAATAACTTGTTCGAAAGTGGTGCTATTACCTATTAATATTACCTAGTAATACCTAGTTATACCCTAGTTGAGCTGTTTGGTTGTACCAAGAATGGGATATTTAAGAACACCAAAATAGATAGAATTAGATAAGACGAACTAACCTCCTGGAAACACCTTTCTATCTTTTTGGTTCGCCACGGAAGAATGTGAAAGTAAAGCAATGTCATAAACCACCACCACCTCGATCATCATCCCACTCATCTGGTTAGTAGATCTAGTGATAATTGGAATATGATATACATAGTATAATCATCCTGAAGTAGATAGAACATTGGAAATGAAATAATAAAAAAAACATCAGTGAAACGGTGAAACGGGAAGAGCCTTGAAAATCGCATCTTCGGTCTACTTCAGGGTGGTTGTATATATATATATAAATTGACCAGTTTTAATGGGATATACATAATCCTTTCTAGATTTGCACATCCCGCATGTGCCAATTTGTGGCGCCATGCCGGCGACTCTTTTGAAAGCGCACTACGCCTAGCTAGGCCATATCTAAAATATCTAAATGGAAACGTTTTCGTTCAGAGTCCTGATGATGTTGTTTTTGTTGCATTAATTATATCATTTCATGATTTCTTATTTCAAAAACAACTCTGAGTCATTAAAAAAACACATTTCAATATAATTATATATTATATATCTAGGTAGTTCATGATAACTCAACAACTTGTGACCGATGGTAATCTTTGAATTCTCAGTGCCACCGAGGCGCTACATCTACTTTTCCTGGCTGGTAGTTCTGCAGGGACGCCCGATTTCCGATAAAATCTCCAAGGTGGTGCATGGCTGGTTGGTTCAGATGGCTAACATAACTCCAATAACTATGGTTTATGGATGTTTATGGCGAAAGAGATATCTATAGTTAGATGGGTTATGATGGAATATAGTTATGAAGATTTTTGACGTAGATCTATTCAGTTTTCTTCCGGATCAGACATGGCTGGAAGAAGATTTAACCAACAGCTCAAAGGTGACTCATCCAAGAAGAAGGGGGTTGTGAACCAGAACCGCCACAATTATGGCGAATCTTAACCATCTATTCTTGGGGTGTCACTTTTGGGCTGGCTGAAGATTTGAAGGATATATCAGCATCGTTGAAAGAGGTTTGTCCAAAAACGGGAGATGGATGGAGATGGCCTAAATGGCATGGCCGCATTGGAATAGGGGAAATGATAACAATTGGAATTGGGGGCAGCCACAACCAGACAAAGCCTAACAGACGGGTGAAGACGGTGAAGACGGGAATTTTGCGGAGACGATCATCCCATTGCTAGGGGTATACCCAATTTCATAAACCCTTTTCAAGGATGGTTTATGGCATAGGTTGACCAACCAACAGAGGTTTCTTGTTGCCTAGGGATCTTAGGGTTTACCTCATCAGATTTGTCATGATTGGTCTGAAAGAGGTTTATTGGAGGTTTCTTATTGGTTTATTCTGAGACTTCGGATGTGCCATCCATTTTCGCTTGGGGACTGGTCGCTGAAGAGCAACCGCACCGGCGAACTGGGACCGCGGGACCGACTTTTCGCCGCGAAGATGGCGTCCTTAACGGTGCAGATGGAGGCATACGCCTTCCGCGAACTCGTGGCACATCTGCAATGGCGAAAGGATGTGCAGAGCCTTGGTTTTTCAAGGCGAAGGGGAGCTACAGATTTGGTGGTGAAAAACCATAGAAGGTTTTCGGAAGAAAACATAGGGACACTATCCTGGAATAATAATGGATGATAATAACTGGTTGGTGGTTTGGAACATTTGGTGTATTTCTATATATTTCTCCATTCAGTTGGGAATAGTAATCCCAACTGACTTTCATATTTTTCAGAGGGGTTGAAACCACCAACCAGACCTTAAGATGATGGTTATTAGGCTTCTAGCTGATAAAATTATCGAACTGAATGGATGATTTTCCAGCAAACCATGTTTGATGACACCGGAGTGTAATGGATACTATAACCTAAAGCGATGTCAATTTTCTGATTATTTTATTTACTTAATTACTTGTTTTTTTGGGGGGGGCCTATAGATGGTGATGACATGTGATGACGGAAGTCAACACTTTCAGGACCTTTACCGGCAACTTCTTGCCCTATAATTGCTTGAATACGTATACATGTTATACATTTATGCAATTTATGCACGTATGTGTTGTCCCACTCAGTTCAAAGATTAAAACTTGTCACCATATGGGTTTGCTTGAACATAGACACCCCACAAATAGTTTAAAATCATTTCTCCCGCAAGACGTTCTCCATTTTGGGATATTCCGATCCCCCATTTTTGGGTACAAAATAAACTAAAACCCAAAACTTTATCCACCATGAGTAGCTTCCCCGAAACACAATTGCTTCAACAACTGGAGGAACATCGATTTAATGAACCTGGCCGGATTTTGCCGGAACTGCATGGCAAAGTGGTATCATGCAGGTGCGAAGGTTCATGGACCCGTGGCTTTATCATTAGCAATCTTTACTTTTTTCATATTGTCTCTTGAACTTTTTTTTTGCTGCATTTTAGTTTTGTGTGCGTTTGGTGTGTGTTGTGTGTGTGTGAGGATGGTCATTAAAAAAAGCAAGGCTTTCTTTCAACAGCATCGAATCCCAGGAGTGCCAATGCAATACGAAGAGGCCTGGGAGCGGGTCTATGGTGAGCCTTACGCAGACCGGAAGAAAAAGAATCAAAAGAAAGCGAGCAGCTCGGCGTCGAACTGAGCTATGGGCACCTCATAGCTCGGATCCAGTGGTTTTTTATCATCAATCAACAGTGATTGATAACTAGGGAAGTTCGGCTAAGATTTTTGTCCGTCAATCCTAAGAAGCATAAGATTCATTTATAAAATATCATAAAATCATAAGAATTCACTGGCTATTCAGTGGTTGATAGTTAAGGTAAATGAAGCCTCGGACAGCCAAGGTTCCACTTCTCAGGTGAGGATGACGGGATGATGAGATATGGACCCAATCCCAAGGTTTCATCATCCCGGACTCCAACATGTTCCCATCTGGTTGGTGGTTTGGAACATGGCTTTTATTCGTTTTATTGTCCATAATACATTAATATGATTTAGTATATGGGATAATTCTTCCCATTGACATCCATTGACGAACTCCATCATTTTTCAAGATGGTTAGAACCACCAACCAGTTATTTATGCCATTTTTTTGTCAATCTGAATTCTTTGGCGGCCAATGTCTCCATCATGCCCAATCGGAATGAAAACGCCATTTTCATTGGGGTGGGCCCCCGGTCATCTCCCAGAAGAGTCATAGGGTCATTGGAGAATGCTTCCAGGCTTGTGGATTGCAGCGGTTCGACGTGTTGTTGGGGTTGATTTGCAGATCAAACCCATGGTTATATATAATATATGTATTATGTATAATAATATAACATAATATAATATAATATTATATTATATTATTTTTTTTTTATATTATATATATATATAATATATATATGGTTTCTGTTTCTAGAATGGTCCAGATCCCCTGCAGTCAACTTGCAGGCGAAGATCAGCTGGCAGTCTTCGAGTCTGGCAAGGAGGGGTCATGGCGGTTTGCGCCGGCTGAGGGGACAATCTCTCAACTTACTGGTGCTTAGTAGGGAATGAGGGAATGATCCATAATCACTAGTAATTAATAATCATCCCATCCCCCATTCTCATCCATTCCCTGCTAAGCACCAGTAAGTCAAAGTTTACAAGTTGCTAATTGGCAGGAAAAGAATAGATCTACCAAGCCTTCAGCCTTCAGCTTGACTGCTGATCTCCTGAGATGGCGATGGAGACAGAAAGTATACTGTAAATGCTTTAGAAATCTGAGCGGAAATGCTCCTCTTTTTTTGGGAACCTATTCCCACTGTGGTTTCCCAGTGAGGCTTTCGGACCATGATCTGATGGGATGTTTCGACTGACCAGCGACTTAAAATTTATCAAGCCCTTTTTTACATTATCAAGTTCATCTTAGGCTATAGAATCAATGCTTGGCTGTTCCACATTCCCAATGCTTGCTTAATACCATTTAAAACCGATTCTTTTTCAACTTCAAACACATATCAACACATCGTTTCAATCATATCCAAAAAATAATTCGACATCCATGTTTTAAAAATACAGCGACCCCAGACATAGAAAAGTTGGAAATCTGGAAATTATGGAACTAACATCATCGAACTACAATCCTGGAACTACGTGTCCATCTTTTTTTGGGGTTGCTATACATATCCCACGATCATTCCCATCAAAAAGTTGATTAAATCACAATTTTTGCTTTTGAAATCCCAGGAAATCACCACAAAATTCCACTGATTCCAGTTTATAAATTCCGTTTAAAAAAAACACTAAATCACCAAGAAAGTCCGGTAAGGAAGTCCATTAAATCCCCATAAATTCCATGACATCCCCAGTTTTCTGAACCAAACCTGCAACCCCTGGTCGCATCAGGACCTCCACGCACGGACAGAGCCCAAGCTGCTGCCAGGAACAGAGGCGGCGCCGGGACATTCCAACGTCTGTGGACAGGGCTGCGATGCGCCAGCCGTGCCGGTGCCCGGGATGAACGGGAAATTCAACTCGGAAAGTATGGGGAAGCAGTTGAAGTGAGAAGTTCTAACTCCAGCTGTGGGGTGTGGCAGATAGAAATATCGGTTTGGTGAATTGTAGCAACATGCAAACATCACTGGGGTGGACCACCCTGAAGCCATAAACTTTCTTCGGATTCCGAAGAAACTGCCTGGGAGCCCAATCAACGGACAACTGCCGTTGAAATCCTGAGTTCCAAGGTAAAAATCAAGACGTGGATGATTCGATCCCAATTCTAGTTGATTTCTTTTCTCAGGGATGTAGGACGCATGGAAAATGCAGGGAACAAACCGTAGGGACATGCGAGTGCTTCCCCGATCCAGTTTTTTGTGCCAGATGCCTATTCCCTCGCGCTCCACGGAGGAATCTCTGAACAAACCTAGGTTGTGCTTCGTTGGTTGTGTTGGCTATGATTGGTTATGACTGGTTATGGATGGTTATGGTGTGTTATTGTTGATTTCTTGAATTTACGGCATGTTCACCCTCTGGTAAACCAACATAACTATGGAATATCACCACTTTTAATGTGTTAATCACCTATCAATGGGCCATTTTCCAGTTCGCAAACTGTTAGTTTACTAGAGGGTTTTTTGTGCTTGATAATCCACCTGTAAGCCATATGTCATTCCATAGGCTTGGGGATATTACATATACCACCTGGTTATTTAACATAGCCATGGAAAATCAACCTGTTTAATAGGTAAACCATCAATTTCTATATGGGCCATATATTCACCAGAGGCTATGTTAAATAACCAGAGGGTATAACTGGGGGTATAATATGGTATAATCATGTATAATCCATACCCTCTGGTAAACTAACATAACTATGGAAAATCACCATTTTTAATGGGAAACCTCACTATAAATGGCCTTAAATGGCCATTTTCAATAGCCATGTTAAATTACCAGAGGGTATATTACTGGGGACCTTTCACATCCCAATATCCATTGACCATGGCCAAGGCTGCAGTGTCCGCCGCCGGCGCCACAGCCGCGAAGATTGCGGTGCTGACTGCGTCGGACCGCGCGGCGGGCGGGGTCTATGAGGATAAGTCCGGACCTGCAGTGGTAGAGATGCTGAAACTCTTCAGCGACCCTTGGAGTTAAGTTGAACACATGCAGCAAAAATATGCAAGAATAAGGGGAATAGATAGTTTGTTTGTTGAATTATGATGTTTTTAAATCAATGGGCCATCATGATTAGTTAATGACGCAGTAGTGCTTGTTTATCATATTAATCTTTAACACTTTGGACAAATCATACGTTTTTTGATTTCGGTGAATCAGCCCCAAGTGACATTATTTCAGAGCAAGCATGGCCAGGAAAACCTTCAACTAAATGGAGCTGTGCATGGGCCATGATTTCCCGTTTTTGATTTTGTACAAAAACACGCCAAAAAATACATGTTTTAAGCGACTTTTCATGAACGATGATAATGATGTTTGGATCATTTGACCACAAAAAGCGAAAAACTCTATCCTTTTTTCATGTTGTCGGTCAGTTGTCACTTTGCCAAATTGTGCCTGAATATCCATTGGTAGATTCTGTCCCAGAGAAGCTAGCATAACGTAGCATCAAGTGCGTGCGCAAGTGCAAGAGAAGATATCATAACATGTGCAAGTGCAAGAGACGATCTCATAATGTAGCCTATCCTATGTTTGCAAAGTAAACATGAACGTTGTTGCCCCACCCCGCCCCTCCCCACCCACCCATGTAGCATGATAACAAAAATGGCAACGCCTGTCCAAGATGTTTTCTGTTGACGAGAGTGTTACTGTACGGTTCAGTTTGATAATGTTGAGTGGGTGTTGTCATTCTTGCTGGCATCATATGTGTTATTACTATGTTTAGTATAGTTCATATATGTTCATATCATCAACCGCAACTTATGGGATTGAGCATGAGGCTTTTGCTGTTTTTGCATCTTTTTGTTGGTGTTTTTGGATGGTTTGATAGGTACATTGGTGCAGCTGCTTTGGCTGCTGCTTTCCAATATTTCTATTTTCAAGCATTGACTGAGGAGAGAAATGGGACTTTGTCGCCGACGTTTGTGGAGCAAAAGGCCGCGACCGGTGGAACTGACTGGTGGTTTCAGCTGCCTTGATCTTTCATATTTCTTTAATCATCGTTTATCCTTAGCTGGGAACATAGATGTCCTTTTCCTTCTGCTTAGTTGCTTAATAGAGGGGTTAACCCACCTTTACAACTAATAGTTAGTAACAGTTAGATGATACATGTGGTATAGCAAACCGGCACCTCTATTTTCCAAAAAGGACATTATTGGTTGGGAAGATTGCATCTGTTTTTTTCCCCTTTCAAGCCTTTCAGTAGGTTGAGACCATCTTAGAGTGTCCTGAGTTGCGACTTCGTTATCTTCGTTCGCCCATCCAGAAAACTGCCCATTTGAATCACATTTAAGATGTGTCTGATTTTCCGTTTCACCGTGTCACCATGTCATTTCAAGCACTTCAATTCACATGAATCAACTTCTCTGGATGTTTCCGGATGTTTCTGGATATTTCTGGATGGTTCCTGTTTCACCATGTCACTACAAGCAATGGAGAAAAAAACTGCTTCTGTTTCCGCTTGGATTTCGAGAATGGCAGGTGGTCCCAGACGATGAAGATGTCATTTTCGCCTCCATGCGGCTTGCCGCGAGTTTTTGGGTGGGCATGACTGGAATTGCTTGATCATCAATAGTTATTCTAAATTATAAATTTATAAGAACACCTGTGCACATATTAATAGTATATATATAAATATATATTTTATAGTATTTATATATATATATATTGTATATATATATATATGTGTGTGTGTATATTATTGTGTGTATATGTGCCAAGTTGCACACACAGACAAGTATATAATGTAATATAACTTTTTTTTTAAGCCATAGATAAATAAATATGATATTATTGATTACTACTATGATTATGCCTGCACACTATTTTATTTCGTGGGTGATGATCAACGACCGGCCCATGGGGTCGTGCTTTCCTCGTGCGGTCGTGCGTGGCGCCGAGGAAAGCTTGGAGTGAATCGAAGGCCTGCGATGTCGCAACTTGGAAGGTTCAACTTAAACAGCGAACGGTCGTTTGTAATGGGATATACCCTCTGGTAAACTAACATAGCTATGGAAAATCACAATTTTTAATGGGAAAACTCGCTATAAATGGGCCATGTTCAATAGCTATGTTAAATTACCAGAGGGTACCAGTGAATTATTACTTATTTAATGGTATCTGACTAACAGAATTCAATAGTAATATGGCCTTTAATGGTATTTAATATGCGTAATATGGTGTATGGCTTAGTTATTGGTAATATGGTAATGGTATTTAATGGCTATTTAATATGGCTTTTAATATGGTATATGACTAACATAATTCATTTTCCATACATGGGATGTTACCCTCTGGTAATGACTGACATAGCGAACTGGAATAGATGGCCAATATAGAAATCGATTGTTTACCGTAATTAAAAATGGTGGATCTTTCCAGTTCGCTATGTTATATAACCAGATGGTAATCCAGACGTTGGACAAGATGTGATGAGATGAGAGAAGATAATCTCAATATAAGACAATATTATATTATAAAGGATCATATGATAAACATAAATAAAATGAAAATAGATACATGAATATGCATCATCATCCACCCCTCGAAAAAAAGGTGAGACAGGAAGGTTTCAGTCTAACTATATAGATCTAACTAGTGGTAGCTATGTGCTCTAAATGGAGCCCCGAGTGGCCCAGTAGTTCCTGCCTCACTCAATGCATCACAGAATTTGGGCGTTTTGAAGTGAAAAATCCATCATACCAACTGTTTGCTTCAACCATTTGCTAAGAATTTCAAAGAAATGCCGAAATGCCCATGCTTTTCCGTCATTTCTCATAGTCAATAGTAACCACTTGACACCCAGCCCAGCTTTGATGGCCATGTTTCCCGCTGGCGAGGTGATAACCACGGGAGGCACTGGCTTTGGTCCTCGAGACGTCACCCCAGAGGCCAAAAAGATAAAGCCCATGGACGGCTGGCACCACCAGAAAGATGTCGAAAAGTGAGAAACCTGGAAATATTCATGAAGTACAGTATCGTCTACATCTTCAATTCACCCCAAAATTCCCCAAAAAAGCTATGAACATCATCGAAAAGAACATTCAAACAATTGAAACAAGATCAAACAAGAAGTGGAAACATCATATCATCATAATCTCCCAAGTTCAACATTAATCCCCAGATTTTCCCCATGTTTTCCTCCAACACGTTGGGAGCGTCAGTTGCTCCAGGCCACCCGGCGTCTGGTGGTGCGCTTGGCCGACGCCCTGTCGCGCGCCATGGCCTGGCAGACCTCGCTGCTGGAGCCGCGTAGCGTGCTGTCGCGGGGGGTCTGTGGCGTGACGAAGGAGCAGGCGTCATGGCCTGCTCGGGGGACGCCGCCATGGCCTGGGAGTGGCAGTTTTCATGGTGGGGAACCATCATGGGGAAACCATGGATGATGGAGATCTATATTTTTTTGGGGGATTTACACACTGGCAGTTTTATGGAAGGAGTCGGGTTTACAAACCAAGTAGGGGATGGAAATGGGGTGATAACTTTGTTGTTGTTATAAAGTATGAACATATTGGTTATCTTGGAATATCCTACTATCAGATATTTTCCCTTCCTCTGCCAAGCACTTGGCTTTGCATTCCTGTTTTGTGTCATTTTATTTCTAAGAAGCCTGCTGACTTTTCATGGGGTTCGATGTTGTGGGCCACTGCTACTTTTGGCGCCATGTTTCATCTTTGCAGCACGTGGTTTGAAGTGGTCACATGTTTGCTAGCCTTCTCTCAACTCAATTCTGTCCAGACGATTGGATTGTATCAAGAGGATTTTCCCACTAGCTTTTTGGAACATGAGGATTTAAGGGTTCACAAATTTAATGGTTTTCCATTGAAAATGGTGGGATAGAGCGAGCAACATGTTTTTTTGTTTATTATGTATTTGTTTATTTATTCATTTATCATGTATTTTTATTTTATTTTTACAACTTGTTATCTTCCAGAAAATGAAAGGGCATGGAGAAACTTGTTGTTATTATATAGATGTTTGAGGAACCATGTATTGAATTGGAATGTTTAAGCATCAAGGTATAGAAACTTAACCGTCAAAATCCTTCCCTTTAGTGTCAAAACTTAGCCTTTCAACATAAAAACCGTGGATTTGGGCATAGACCATTGAGATATGATTGGCTATAGTGCTAACCTGCAGCAACCTCCCACGGCTGTCTAAGAAATCCCCATCTTTGAAGGGAAAGCAAAGGAACATCATCAATTGGGGAACTTACAATTAGCCAGTTTGGACTACCAGAGGGCAAAGGAGATGCCATTGGAAGCAAACGAAGCAAGGACAATTTAAGACTGGAGATTTTGAGGATGTCGACGGAGTTTTGATAAACATGCAAGTATTAGGGGACCCTAAGGGAGCAATATAGGTAGATTTGAATGATCGAATTTTGAAGGGATTTGGGTCCGCACCAAAGATGAAAATTCGGATGTGTATATATATATATATATAGGACGCATAAACTTTTGACTCACATGGATTCACATGGACCAACAGTAAGTTATTCGTAGGTTTGCCGAACAATAGGCTACCCTCAGATCTTTTAAAGTTCAAGACTTGAAATTTCCCATGAAATTCGCCATGTTTGGGTTTTTCCGCCATCTCTGGTCAATCTCATGTCCATTCTTCACTGGTCGTGTTAAATCAATCATGTTACACTGTGGTAATTTAACATAACTATAGAAAATCACCATTTATAGTGAAAATTCCCATGAAACATGGTAATGTTCCATAGTTATGTTAGTTTACCAGAGGGTAAATCCACATGTTTCATGCTGTTTCGGCCCATGAAACGGTCCATGAAAATCCCATGACTTTCTCAACACCCATCGCCAGGTGCTGATCGTGAACCTCCCCGGTCATCCTAATGCCGTGCGGCAATGTCTGTCCGTTTTACTGCCAGTCTTGCCACATTTGCTGCGAATGCTCGGGTGATCAACAGATTTTGGCACAAAAAAGATGTGGGGGCATTGGGGGCAGGGCAGTGCAGCTTGAAATTGCAGCTGTTTTTACGGATTTTATGGTAACCTAGGTGTATTTGTTGGTAAATGATGGTTCTTGTCGACCTTTTGTGACTTTTTGATGTTGTGTTTGTAGCCAGTTGCTCTTTTTTCAAATTGTCAGGTGATATGTTGGGTCATCTGGGGCTTTATCGCCACATCATCATCATCATCATCATCATCATCAACAATCATAGTAGCATACAATGTAACACACACACACATACATAATCTATATATATATATAGACTGCATATTAACGCACAACAATTGCACCAGTAGTAACGATCATCGTTACCTTGCGGTGACCTGAGGTCGAAGCTGATGTTCCGTGCTCAGTTGGGAGCTGGGGGCTCCACTGACAGGCGGAACTCAGGTTTTGATAGGTTTTGATCATGTGAAAAAAATGGGGAAAACAGTCACCGTTGATCAGATTTCCGTCCGACTCCCGGTTCATGATTTCATGTGGCCAACCCAGAAGTGGACACTTTCCATGCGCCCAACAGCGGGATGGACACCCCCGAAATCGTTCAGGTGCAAAAGATTCTGGCAGCGGCGGAGCCACGCGTCCCCAGGCCAGATGAAAATCTGGGATTAATTGAAGGCTTACCCTCTGGTAAACTAACATAACTATGGAAAATCACAATTTTTAATAGGTAAATCCACTATAAATGGCCAGTTTCAATAGCTATGTTAGTTTACCAGAGGGTAGATGAGAGTCGTCTAAAGCTGAACCACATTTGGAAAACGCAGAACGTCATTCGGAAAAGGCAAGCTGACGAATGTATAGTATCTTAAGTCAGTTGCAGATCGCCCATTATTCCGGTCCCTTAAGTCAAACGCGAAACCCCAAGAAATCGAATCCCACAGTCAAAATTTTGGATATGGCCCAACCGAACAAGTTTTTTCTTGATACCCAATTTTTGTTATTTAGCCAGCCATGCTTGATGATTCAGTCCCAAATTCAGTTATTTTATCTTGGTGAAACCACATATTTTCACGCTTAAACCACGAATTTAATGGTTAAACCATTATTTTTGATGGTGAAACCACAAATTTGATGATTAAACCACACTGGTTGATGGTTAAACAACCATTTGTGATGTTTAAACCAGACTTGCTCATTGTTAAAACACAACTTTTGATAGTTAAACCACCATTTTCGATGCTTAAACCATCATATGTGATGGTTAAACCAGCATTGTTGATGTTTAAACGATCATTCTTGATTGTTAAACCATCATTTTGATGGTTAAACCAGAATTTTTGTCGGTTAAACCATCGTTTTTGATGGTTAAACCACACTTGTTGATGGTTAATTTTTGATGGTTAAACCAGATTCTTTGATGGTTAAACTATCGTTTTTGATAGTTAAACCATACTTGTTGATGGTTAAATAACATGTTTTATTGTTAAGATGGTTAAACCACCATTTTTGATTAAACCATACTTGTTGGTTGGTACACCACCTTTTTAATTGTTAAACCATGTTTTGGATGGTTAAACCACCATTTTTGATGATTAAACCACACTTGTTGATTGGTAAACCACTTTTTTTAATGGTTAAACCATAATTTTTGATGGTTAAACCAGCATGTTTGATGTTTAAGCCAACTTTTTTGATGGTTAAACTACAATTTTTGATGTTTGAACCATCATTTTTGATCGTTAAAACACAATTGTTGATGGTTGAACCACCATTTTCGATGCTTAAACCACCTTTTGTGATGCTTAAACCACCATTTGTGATGCTTAAACCACCATTTTTGATGCTTAAACCACCATTTGTGATGCTTAAACCACCATTTTTGATGCTGAAACCAGCATTTTTGATGCTTAAACCACCATTTTTGATGCTAAAACCACCATTTGTGATGCTTAAACCACCATTTGTGATGCTTAAACCACCATTTTTGATGCTTAAACCACCATTTGTGATGCTTAAACCACCATTTTCATTTTGATGCTTAAACCAGCATTTTTGATGCTTAAACCACCATTTGTGATGCTTAAACCACCATTTGTGATGCTTAAACCGCCATTTCTGATGCTTAAACCACCATTTGTGATGCTTAAACCACCATTTGTGATGCTTAAACCACCATTTGTGATGCTTAAACCACCATTTGTGATGCTTAAACCACCATTTTTGATGCTTAAACCACCATTTTTGATGCTTAAACCACAATTTGTGATGCTTAATCCACCATTTGTGATGCTTAAACCACCATTTGTGATGCTTGAACGACAATTGTTGATGCTTAAACCATCATTTGTGATGCTTAAGCCATCATTTTTGATGCTTAAACCACCATTTGTGATGCTTAAGCCACCATTTTAGATGCTTAAACCACCATTTGTGATGCTTAATCCACCATTTTTGATGCTTAAACCACCATTTGTGATGCTTAATCCACAATTTTTGATGCTTAAACTACGGTAACGACATTTAAATATGTGGAGGGCAGGCCAAACCGCGAGGCCCCGGAGGTAGTATGAAATACCAGTGCGCATATTTAAATGTAGTTACGGTATGTTTAAATGAATTGGTTTCCGTATGTTTAAATGGCTGGGCGGGCCAAGGAAAACCTTCCCGGAGGTAGTCTAAAATACTTATTCGTATATTAAAAAATCCGTATATTTAAATGTAGTTACCGTACATTTGTGATGCTTAAACCACCATTTGTGATGCTTAAACAACCATTTGTGATGCTTAAACCGCCATTTGTGATGCTTAATCGGCCATTTTTGATGCTTAAACCACAATTTTTGATGCTTAAACCACAATTTGTGATGCTTAAACCACCATTTGTGATGCTTAAACCACCATTTTTGATGCTTAAACAACCATTTGTGATGCTTAAACCGCCATTTGTGATGCTTAATCCACCATTTTTGATGCTTAAACCACAATTTTTGATGCTTAAACCACAATTTGTGATGCTTAAACCACAATTTTTGATGTTTAAACCACCATTTTTGATGCTTAAACAACCATTTGTGATGCTTAAACCACCATTTGTGATGCTTAAACCACCATTTGTGATGCTAAAACCACCATGTGTGATGCTTAAACCACCATTTGTGATGCTTAAACCGCCATTTGTGATGCTTAACCCACCATTTGTGATGCTTAAACCACATTTTTTTGATGCTTAAACCACCATTTGTGATGCTTAAACCACAGTTTTTGATGCTTAAACCACCATTTGTGATGTCTAATCCACCATTTTTGATGCTTAAACCACCATTTGTGATGCTTAAACCACAATTTTTGATGTGACAATCTCACTGTAGAGTGTTGGAATCTAACCTTGGGTCTTCGCAGGCCTTGAGCTAGGCTCAGGTGCGCAAAAGGGTGCCGCGTTTGCCCCTAGGACACACCACTGAAACAGTGGTAGCGGAGCCGGCTACGGCCGGCAGCCTTAGCCTGACGCAATGTCAGGAGGAGCGCCGCGACGCCGTTTTCGACCTCGTGGACGTGGTGCCGCAGCTGGGCGAGGGGGACAAGAACATGGAGCAGAACCAGCTGCAGGCGAGGACACTGAGTGGGACGACGCCGCGGACTTACCATGGGACCCTGCAACGGAAGGCCACCAGCAGAACAACGGTGTGACAAGTAGCTACTTTGGAACAAATGATGCTACGAGCTCTACTACACCGGCAGCTGGCGGACCTCAAGATGATGGTGGCGCACCAAATGGCCCATCGGAGACACCTGGTGTGGCGACTGCGATGCCGCCTGGATGCGGGAATCCCATGGAACCCAACATGAGCCCAATACAGAACATATGGTTTGGACCACCAGCCTCAACATGGAGCCATATGCCCAGTGGAGGTTGCCCTGGGCTAGTTGGTACAGTACCTCCACAAGGAGCTCTACACCATGAAGGACCTCGAGGCCCTGTACCTGTACCGGTACCTGGTGGAGTACCTCCGCAAGCATTCAATGGCATGGGAATGGCTGGATGCGGAATGCCCTTTGCACCGTATGGCCCAGTGCACGGTCCCGGATTTCCGCATTCGATGGTGACAGCACTACAACCTGATCTATCCCATCGAGCTCCCATGAGCAGTGCTTATAACGTACCCCGACCTTGTGCGGATCTTCCTCACGGTCTTCCTGGTGGATGTGGCCCACAACCTCATCAAGTTCCTTCTGCAGTATTCCAACAAGCTCCCAATGGAATGCCCGGCTTTGGGCAGAACTTGCATGCTCCTGGCGCTGGCTCGGGTGGCAATTCCCCACTGGCAGGCATGACGCCTCCGGTCGCTGGCAGCCCTGACAGGCATGGACCACGATCACAACCTGGCGACCCATGGAGCAACTACAGGCCCACCGAGACCGTGACCAATGCCAAGGAGTTCAGCCAAAGGCTTCGAGAGGAACGACCAGGCTTTAGGTCAGTGACGTCAGCCTTCGAAGCCATGGGCAAGACGACGCCTTCGTCGACCGCACCTCATGGTGCCAATGTGACGAACGAGCAACTGCTGGCGAAGCTCGTTGATGCGGTCTCTGGCGATCGTAAGCTACCCATTCCAACTTGGGACGGGACTCCATCTGGACTACGTGGTTGGCTGCGACAACTGTCCTTTTGGGAGACGGAATCGAACCTGCCCAAGGAGAAATGGGGTGTGCGACTTTTCCAGTCCCTTTCTGGAGAAGCTCGCAAGATCGCCGAGACAGTCAGCACGGAGGTCTTGCTCACCTCGGACGGCTACAGCGCTGTGCTGACTTCGCTGATGCAGAAGTTCCAGCCCTACTTGGACGCTGTTGGCCCGCTCTCCATCGACACGTTCCTGTACTCAGGTGAGAGAGCCCCGAGGGAAACCTTCAACGCCTACTTGAGCCGCAAGTCCACCCAGAAGCAGGAGTTGGAGTCGCAGATTGGCGCCGAGGTCCATCCCTTGATAGCTGGACGTGTGCTTCTTCGACAAGCTGGCCTGACCGAGAACCAACAACAACTTGTGGCCCTGAAGAACCACACCCTGCTCTCCTATGACGAGGTTGCCAAGACCCTGCAACCTTTGGACAGGTTGGACACCCTGGCCAAAGCTGGAGCGTTGACGACAGCGACGACTGGCAAGGTCTACATGCAGACAGCTGAAGGGGATGACGAAGATGAAGAGAACTATGATGAGGAAGCAGAAGAAGAGCTGGAGACTGAGGACGAAGACAGCGACTTCATCCAGTTCGAGGACAAGGAGTACGACGAAATGGAGGCGGTGTATGTCCAGGCCTACAACGATGTGAGAAAGGATTTGAGATCCCGCCGCAAAGAACGTGGATTCGTCAAGCATGGCCGACGATCGCCTTCGGGATCGAGCAGCCCGAAGAAAGGCCGTGGCAAGGGCCGTGGGAAAAAAGGAGACTGAAAAAGGTCAGCTGGCAAGCAGCAGAAGGACGAGCCCTACATCAGGGGAACGGAGTCAGAGCTGCTGGCACGCACCAGGTGCTTTTCGTGCCAGGAGTTGGGACATGTCAGCAGAAACTGTCCGCATCGATCTACAACGACGACAGCAACTCCGAAGAAGACCTTTGTGGCTGTGACTCCAACCGGCCATAGCACGACAACATCCTATGCGGTCTTCAAGCACGAGTGCCAGTATCCTCCGAAGGAAGAAGCTCTACTTCGTGCAGTATATGCAGGTGTGCAAGTCCGTGGATTCGAGGCCGTGATTGACACCGCAGCAGAGCAATGCATCATCGGCAGCAAGGCCTTTGCAAGCCTTCAGGAAGAGCTGGCCTTGCTCAACCTCCGAGTGGTGCTCATCAGGCAGCCTGCAGTTCCATGTGCCGGCATTGGAGGCCGAGCCAAACTGCAGGGACTCTACGATGTTCCAACATGCATCGCTGGGGTGTGCTGCGCTTCACTGTCATCACGGACACCCTCAGCTTTGTGACGCCACCGCTGCTTGGAGTTTCCTACTTGGAGGCGGTTGGAGCCATCATTGACTTGAGCACCAACCATTACAGCACTCCAGATGGCCACACTGCCAACATGCGAAGGTTGTCTTCTGGCCATCGGGCCATCCACATGCTGGACTTCGACACCACGCCCTGGAAATTGCCACTACAACATCAAGTTCGCGGCCACGATCCTTTCCGACTTCCTGTTCCTCGTTCCTCGCACTATTTTTCGGGAGGCAATGGTGCTGAAGGTTTTGGAGATTTGCACGTTTCGTGCGAAGCTGATGCTGGAAGCCCCATGGACGAGACCTTCTTCCAGACGTACTTGGAGTCGCAGGTTTTGCCCTTGGAGAGCGGTGAACTGACAGCGGCACCAGTGGCATCAGCGGCATCGAGACCTGATCGGTCAAGATCTCCAACAAGAACCAATGCTTCGGAACGCAACACCATGGCCAATAACGAAAACGACCAAGGACCTGGAACAGGAGCCACAACGACAAGACGTGTGACCTTTGACACAACGACTGCAGCTGGTGCCCCGGCAGATGTTGCATCTTCGGCGGCGCCTACATCTCCTATGACATCCCCAGAACCTGCTGAAGAACCTGCAGCTGGTGGAGGAGCTTCTGCAATACCTACACCAACAGATGCCAATCTGCCAGAGACGCAGGAGGAATGGCACGCAGAAGAGGCCCCATCGAGCCTGTCCAAAGAGACAGATCCACCTGTGGATCCCTTTGACGAAATGAGCAGCCCTGAGTTTGTCATGCACGATGGCCAGGTGCTGGACCCCAACGTGGAGACCAAGGTCTGGGTGATCAAGACGAACAGCGACAAGGAGCTTTTGGCGACCTACGTGGGCTGGAGGATTCGAATTTTGGATCCCTTCGATGTTCCACAAGCTCGCCGCTATGACCTGACGGAACGTAGACAGGTGGTTGCCAAGTTTCCGCAGAATGAGTCGCGGGTGGTGAGGGACTGCTGGCCCACCAACATCAACCGCATCATGGAGAAGCCGTGGCATGGCGACATCACCTTCTACGAGTCGCATGAGAAGGGCGACCCGTTCCGACCTTTTGGAACTTGGCTGGATGCACAGCCACGTGGATATCCGCGACCACCACCTGGACCACCGCCTGGGTTTGGTTCGACCTCATCCTCTTCAAGACCTTCTGGCGCAAGTGGCAGTTCTGGTGGGGGCGCTGGATACTACACACACCAACACGGTGGACATGCAGCTTCCGCGCAGCAAAACAGTGCGGCGCAGCTGATGATGATTGAGTACAAGATGGATGCCACCGATGGTGATGGAAACTGGCATGAAATTTGTGAGATGGATGCTGGTGATGTTGATGAACCACATCGGCATGATTGCAGTGCAGTCGAATCGTCAAGTCGTGGTGAAAGTTCAAAGGCAGGTGAGGTTTTCCAACTCAGCATGCTGAAGAATTGTTTGAGAAGAAGGAGACCTCTCTCCACTCGCAGCCCAATTGCTCAACTCATGAGCTGGACATTTTCCAGAGCAGCCCAAACGTTCCTGCACCGTCTGCAACGTTGCAATGGCGCCCAAGAAGAACCAGTCGAGCGCAGCTGCAAGCAGCCTTCAGGCCTCCATCCTCTCCATGATGGACAAGGAGGACAGGGGCGAGGAATCGAGTCGAAAGCTTGGGACTCGGAAGTGCGAGACAGCTTGGTCTCGCGTGGTGAAAGCTATGATGCTGCTGATCAACACGACGCGCTCGCAGATGGTTCTGGACTACCTGCAGAAGAAGGGGGCAGTGTGCGACGAGGTGGACACCGAGAACGTTGGGGACAAGTTCAAGAAGGCGACCAAAGCCAAGGGCAAGGCGAACCAAACCGAGTGGATCGCTCAGGGAATTGGCAAGCCTCTGAAAAGGTCAACGGCACAAAAATTTTGGGAGAAGGAGCCGGAGCAGTGCAACCACCCTGCAGAGTACCTACGCTACAGAGCCAACCGGTTCGACCGCTGGTGGGTGTGCCTGACGTGCGGATCCCGCTGGGAGAGGTTCGATGTGGACCATGCGGCATCCTCGACAGCCACGGTGGTGCCAGAGACGCCGGACTCCCACAGCCTGAAGACCCTGGAGGGCACGTATCCCCAGTTCTTGCCAGCTCCAAGATCGAAGCCCGACCAAGGAGCGGTGACCCTGAAGGTGACCAACATGGGAAAGATCTCCATGGTGGATGGAGGCACTGTGTCAACTACATCACGGAGATCGAAGACAAGCTCCCAGGAGACCGCTCGGGCAAGATCTACTTCCAAGGAGCGCCAAATGACGGGACTACGTGCAAGTCAGGCTGCCAAAAGAGTGCCGACCTTCAACATCGACCGCGAGGGCACGATGGAGCACTTGGAAGAAGCCTTCGGACCGACAGAAATTCTCATGATCAGCGACGAGGAGAAGGAGTGGAGTGCCGGCCCACCGCACGCAGACTAGTGCACAAGAATCAGCTCGGTGGGAAGTACGGCAAGGCTTTGGGGTCGCTTCTCAAGACCCATTTCTCCAAGTTCATGGTTTTCCTCTGCATGAACTGTTGCCTGGCGCCCACTACAGTATCAGCTTTTGGATCCCCCGATCTCATTGCATGGCACCACGACAATGAATTCAAGGTCGCAAAGACTGAGGATGGTTTCACTGAGCCGGACAACTTCGACGGCGACTACATGGCCTGCTACGTCTATGGCCACCTTGCGCAGCATTTTGCAAGCGCACAAGCTGACGGCCAAGGCAAGCTGCACCAGATGAACAAGGACTTGAACAGAAGACTGGTGAAAAGCTTGAGGGATTCCCCCAACATCCTCGAGGTTTACTCGCCACCGAGGGTGAATTGGACCTTTCAACAGGATGGGACTTTTGCAAACCCTCCCATCAGAAGGCTGCGTTAAGACTTGTCAACGAGTTGCAGCCCGTGCTTGTGGTCCTCTCTCCGCCGTGCACTACGTTTTCAGCACTACGAAACCTGAGCAACTTCAAACGTGACCAAGCCACAGTTGCTCAAGAAGAAGCAGAAGGCAGACTTCATGTCCGCTTCAGCGTGCAGTTGGCACGCATCCAACATCGAGCTGGCCGAGGATTTCCTTTTGAACATCCGAGGAACGCCACCTCTTGGACGACCACAGAACTGCAACAACTACGACAAGAAGATGGTGTCCACGCAGTTGCAGTGGATCTCTGCAGATTTGGGTTGAAGACTTCCAAAGGGGCTCCAGCTCTGAAGCCGACACTTCTGCTTACCAACATCGAGGAGCTTGCGACAGTCCTACATCGAAGATGTGAGGGGTTCCACAAGAGCCATCAACCACTTCTTGCAGGAGAAGCGGCGTTGGCCGCAAAATACACACCAGCCTTCGTGGATGCGATCCTTCGTGGACTTCGCCAACATGTTCAATCTTGGGTGAAGGCTCACAACTCCAGTTCCGACTACTGGGAGGTGAAGGACGAGGAGGTCATCCGACATCATCGAGTTCCACGAAGAGCCCGCTTTTCTCCTACGGGTGTTGCTGGCTGCCCACTGGAACTTAGCAAGCTCTCATCCAGTCGCACTACAGTCATGAAGTTCGACAAGGGCCCGGTGCAGACCTTCAACGACAATTGGCGAACCACTGCGTTGCCCCGTCAAACCATGACGACTTTGTGGACAGGAACCACAACTTTTCCTGTTCAAGATCCAATTCTACTCCCACACGATTGGCAAGAAGCTGCAAACTTCATCGTTCGAGCAGCTGCACATCCCATTCACTCCTACATCACCGAGGAGACAGCCGTGCAAATGGAATGGACAACAGCGTTTCCATCCCACAGAATTTTGGGAGGCGCGCCTTCTACGCCTTCAAGCACTGCTGGACCCCCCCAGTTCAACCGTTTTGCTGGGATGGATGGTGATGACCTCGACGTCAACATGCTGGACGACTTGGGTGTGAATGCACCAGATGAGACATCAGAAAGCAAGGCAGAACATGCCCTACGAGCCTTGGACCTGAGCAAGCCTGCAACGGACAACATCCTTCATCCTGAAATGCGCAGGGAGCTCTTTAAGATCCATCGAAATTTGGGACATCCTTCACTACAAGTGTTTGTGAGAGCCCTGAAGCATGCCGGTGTCAAGAACGAGGTGTTGCAGTGGACCAAGAATCACTTCAAGTGCCCACTTTGTGAAAGGAAACAACAACCCTCTTCGCACCGCCCTGGGAAACTTCAGCGCGCCATGAACTTCAACGAGGTGGTCGGTGTGGACCTGATCCAAATCAACGTGCCGGAGATCGGAGACTATTGGATGCTGAACTGCTTGTGTTGGGGAACCGACATGCAGATCGTGGAGATCGTCAAGGACAAGCAAGCCAGCACCGTCTTGGAGACCTTCTGCCGCGTCTGGGTCGCCCACTACGGCCCACCTGCATTGGTCGTTGCAGACCAGGGAAGGGAGTTCATTGGCCACCAGTTCACTGACTACCTGGGACATATGGGGGTTCCTGTGCACTTCATCAACGCACGGAGTCCTTGGGAGAACGGGCGTACGGAGCGCGCCGGTGGCATCTTCAAATCCAGACTTGAAGGAGCTCTACATGAAGTTGGTGCCACCACTGAAGAGGAGCTGAAGCTGACCATCCAGGAGGTTGTCACCGCGCACAACCGCTTCTACAACCGGACGGGCTTCACACCCTACCAACGAGCCTTTGGTACCTTGCCGAGGATGCCCGCTTCACTTCTTTCCGACGACCGCATCGATAAGCAGCTGATGTTGGAAGGAGCTGGAGACTCTATGAAGCGTGCATGGGCTATCCGAGAAGCTGCATCCAAAGCATGGCTTCGTTGGCAAGATGATGAATCGGTCCGCAGAGCCGTGTCAACAAGGACAAGGACTTCGGACACCAAAGACTTCGAGGTCGGAGAATTGGTCTACGTTTGGAGGAATGTTCCTGGCTTCAAGGGATGGACCGGTCCAGGTTCAATTGTGGCATTGAAGGGAGAAACCGCCTGGGTTTCTATGAGAGGCTTCCTCATGAAGGTCGCGATCGCGCAGACCCGGAGAGCCACTTCGGAGGAAAGCCTTGGAGCAGAGCTTGTTCGGCATTTGTCCGAACAGATGCTGGAAGACCTAGAGTCCAATGCGGTGAAGTACTACAGAGATGTGGAAGGAGAAGGTCCTCCAGACGATGGCAGCGAAGGCGGCGGATACTCACCTTCTCTGGGTCCAGAGGGGGAAGAGCCGCTACTCGGTGGAGATTCACCTCTCGAGGCAGAACCATCGCCCCTAGCTCCCATCGCTGAGGAACCAGATGCTCCTATGGATGAAGTTCCACAAGATCAAGTTCAACCAGCCGCTGATGATGGACGTTCAGAGATCAGCACAGCAGAGCCTTCTATGGGTCATGCTCCATCAGATGGCGCCTCACTACCCTTCAGCCGCATGGGCACGGAGAACACCATTCCGGACCGACGCCTGAGTGGAGTCCGAGTTGATGAAGGCCGTGGAGGAACGCTTGGTTTTGGCCCCATTCGTGAAGGACCTCCTACATCCTCTACTGCAATGCCATATCCGAGCCCTCCTCAAGGAGTACCTTCTTGGCCGAGACCATCACACAGCTTGTACTTTGAGGTGTCTGCAGAACCATCTACCCAGACGCCACGCTGGACTTTGGATCGACCCACTGGCAAATATACAATGAACCCTCCAGACACGTCCAAGTTCAACGTCAAGGAAGCTGAAGCCGTGTACAATGAGAGGGACCAGTGCATGTACCTCACCAAGTCCAAGGCAAAGACATCACCTGGTCAGGTCGAGTTTCGACACTTGCCGGAGAAGTACAAGAACATCTTTCGGAAGTCTCGCGCCAAGGAAGTTGCCTCATTGTTGAACTCGGGAGCCATCCAAATCTTGAGCGTCGAGGAGTCCCGGAAGTTTGCCAAGGAACACCCTGACCATGTGCTCACCAGCCGCTATGTGGATCGCTGGAAGCCTACGGATGCATTTGGAGTCCTGCCGGAGGAGTACGAACAACCCGACTTCCTCCCGGAGAACCACAGTGGCCTGGCGCCGAAATCTCGTTGGTGTGTGGTTGGCTGGAAGGACCCGCACATTCACCAGATCGAGCGTGCCGCGCCTACACCCTTGACTTCATCTATGTATCTGGCTTTGCAACTGGCAGCAAGTCGCAAATGGGTGGCTTTTGGAAAGGATGCCAAGACAGCCTTTTTGCAGTCTCGACCAACTACAAGAGTGCAGAAGCTAGCCTGCAAGATGCCAGCCGACGAAGCCTTCGAAGGATACAGTCCTGAACAACTGATCCTCCTTCTTACGGAAGTTTACGGCTTGGTATCAGGCCCAGCTTGGTGGAGAAGGTCTCTACTCGAGCTGTTGGTCAAGGAGCTCAAGTATCGAGTGTGCGTCTACGATAGGTGCATTCTGACCTTGGATGGGCCCCTTGATCCGAAGAACCCCGATGCTCCAGTCAAAACCAGAGGATTCATCGTCCTGGAGGTCGACGACCTGTTGGAAGCGGGCGATGAGGAGCACCGGAAGAAGATGGAGTGGCTCGAGAAGAGACTGAAGTTTGGGAAGATTGTCAACTTGCAGGAGACCGAGAATGGCGGTGGAAGTGGATACGCTGGAAGGCGAATCAAGCAATTGCCTGATTTCAGCTTCACCTACAGCATGGACGACTATGTGGCCAACAGGCTTCACGCCATCAAGGTTCACCGCAAGGTCTTGAAGAAGGACGCAGCCAACATCAAGCTCAACGAGGACGAGATCTCTCAGCTCAGGGGAACGATAGCAGCCATTAACTGGTCGGCACGTGAAGGACGCCCTGACGGCTCCGCAAGTGCTTCGATTTTATCTGGATGCTTCCCCGAGCCCACTATGAAGAACCTCTTCGAGTGCAACCAAGTCGTGGAGCTTCTAAAGAGCCGCAAGGTGACCATTCGAATCTTTTCCGTTGCGGAGGACCAGATCCGGCACCTGCTCATCGCGGACTCTTCCTTCGATCCGACTGGGAGGACAAAGCCCCAGCATGGATGGATCCAGGGTATCACCACGCCGCAACTCAACCGTGGTGAGAAAGCCCCTGTGAGTCTGATTGCATGGCGATCAAAGAAGTTGCGCCGCAAGGCGGGAAGCACCACGCTCTGTGAGAGCATTTCGCTTTCAACAGCGTTGGCAGCGATGGAGAAGCAAGTTGCCACCTTCCAGAGTTTCCAGTTTTCGAGGTTCGACCCGAAGAGCATCACCAACGACATCGAGGTCGAAATGGGCCTACGTGGACCACCCACTGTGATCGCCTCCGAGGATCCGAAGTTTGTGGACCCACTGACGGTGGCCCTGATCGATGCCAAGAGTGTCTTCGACTCGACCTCGAGCCCAGAACGCCAATTTCAGGGAGAAGATGACCGAGCAGCCTTGGAGTCAGCCATCATCCAAGAAAGTCTCGCGAAGTTGAAGGCCAGACTACGGTGGATTCCGCACAATTTCAATCCGAGTGATGCCCTCACCAAGCTGCCACAACAGGCTCATATGCAACCTCTATATGATCTACTATGTCAACAGGCGATGGTGATCCAAAAAGAGGAGGACGAGCTTGCAGCTGGGCGACAGGGCGATCACCGAATGAAATCGCATGGAAGTGTCCCTTCCTCGCAGGATTGACAATCAACCCTGCAGAATTTTGGGAGGCTGACAATCTCACTGTAGAGTGTTGGAATCTAACCTTGGGTCTTCGCAGGCCTTGAGCTAGGCTCAGGTGCGCAAAAGGGTGCCGCGTTTGCTCCTAGGACACACCACTGAAACAGATGCTTAAACCACAATGTTTGATGCTTAAACCACTTAAACCACAATTTTTGATGCTAAAACCACAATGTTTGATGCTAAAACCACAATGTTTGATGCTTAAACCACCATGTTTGATGCTTAAACCACCATTTGTGATGCTTAAACCACAGTTTTTGATGCTTAAACCACCATTTGTGATGCTTAAACCACATTTTTTTGATGCTTAAACCACCATTTGTGATGCTTAAACCACAGTTTTTGATGCTTAAACCACCATTTGTGATGCTTAAACCACATTTTTTGATGCTTAAACCACCATTTGTGATGCTTAAACCACAGTTTTTGATGCTTAAACCACCATTTGTGATGCTTAAACCACAGCTGATGCTTAAACCACCATTTGTGATGCTTAAACCACAGTTTTTGATGCTTAAACCACCATTTTGATGCTTAAACCAGCCTTAAACCACAATTTTTGATGCTTAAACCACCATTTGTGATGCTTAAACCACAATTTTTGATGCTTAAACCACCATTTGTGATGCTTGAACCGCAGTTTTTGATGCTTAAACCACCATTTGTGATGCTTAAACCACAGTTTTTGATGCTTAAACCACCATTTGTGATGCTTGAACCGCAGTTTTTGATGCTTAAACCAGCATTTGTGATGCTTGAACCGCAGTTTTTGATGCTTAAACCACCATTTGTGATGCTTAAACCACAGTTTTTGATGCTTAAACCACCATTTGTGATGCTTGAACCGCAGTTTTTGATGCTTAAACCACCATTTGTGATGCTTAAACCACAGTTTTTGATGCTTAAACCACCATTTGTGATGCTTTTTTTGATGCTTAAACCACCATTTGTGATGCTTAAACCGCAGTTTTTGATGCTTAAACCACCATTTGTATGTACAAACCATCCTTTTGATGGTTTGTGTTTCCACAAGGCCCCAGAAACCTGCCCTCGTGACCTTTTACACCTTGACCCAGGGCGTTGGTCCCGTTGGCTCCCGCAAGCGCGCCCGCAAGCAGTTTGGAGGTACAGTTTGACTGGGGGAAACGTACGTTTGGTGCACGGGGTAAGCATGGCTAAGCATGGCTAAGCGACCCAAATTGTGATGTGAATTTTCGATTTTTTGGGAACCAATTTGCGGTACAACTTCGGAAAAACGATCGAGAAAGATTGTGCTTCTGTATCGAATGACCACTTCGCCAAGAAAGAAGTTGCCTCACTTGATGTCCCTGGTAGTGAAGATGTGAAGTGTGGTTTCAGCGTTTTCATGATTTGAATGAGTTGAAGTATGGTTTTTTCTCCGTGTTTTTACTGAAGAATTGAGCGACTTAAAAAATGGTGTCCACCTGGCGGTCAACTTTTTTGGATCATTTTCCTGCTATCCTGGAGGAAGATGGGAATCACTCAATGAACTTTTCAGCCATCTACTGTAGCTATGTCGGTTTAATCAGGTTAATCTCCTAATTGTGTCTTGCTAAGTCACTAAGATCCCCATGTTCGATTTATCCGATATATTTTTGCGTCGATAAATCAGCTTTGTTTAGATCCCTATGATATAAACCCACATGTTTGGCGTGTAAATATCAATTTTTGGCTGGGTAAATCGCAGTTTTCGGTGGGGGAATCTCAATTATTTGGTGGGTAAATCAGCATGTTTCATTGCTAGATCGCCATTTCTGTTGGGTAAACTCATTATGTTTGCTGGGTGACTCTCATTCTGTTGGTGGATAAATGGCGATTTTTGGGTGGGCAAATGCCTGTACCTATCTGGTTCTTCAACCGTTTCAACCACCAATTCGAGGTTACTTAAGCCCAAAAGGTCACTTAACATCACTTAACATCACCTAACATCACTTAACCACCTCGATGAGTCAATTTAAAGGAACCAGGTGAACTACGGTGAACTGTATTTTCTTGCTGCTGCAAAAAGTCACTTGGCAGGTCACGATGGACCTCCTACAGCTGGTGGCCAGATGCTGTGACGGGGAGGACCTTGGTGTCTGGTTGTTTTTTCATGGGAACCTCAGATCGGCCATGGTTAGTTGGGGTGCTAAAGTGAATACCCTCTGGCAAACTAACATAACTACAGAAAATCGCCATTTTTACTGGGTAAATCAACGAACTAAATGACCATTTTCATCCATTTTCAAGTTCGCAAACTGTTAGTTTACCAGAGTCGCCATTTTGGATGGTGAATTCCTCTGAATTTTCCCAAAGATTGGAAGAATGGTTGACCATCATTCTTCATCGTTAAACCGTTAAAGGGTGACATTCCCATTTCTCATCATTTAAGTGATGGACCTGGATAACCCACCATTTCACCATATTTTTCATGTTTGAACGACAATGGTTTCATGGGAAAAACCAGCATTGTAACCACCATTTTTGATAGATCGACCATGATTTTTCATGGTAAACCACCAGTTTTCATCATTTTTGATGGATCAAGCACCAGTTTTCACGGTGAACGTCCCATTTCTTGTGGATTCTCCAAGCACGGCCGTGCTTGAAGTCGTTAGGACCTCACCCGACTGGGTCAAACGGGGCGTCGCTTCTTTCAACAGCTCGACCTCAGCGTTGAGGTCCGGGTTTCACCAGTAATCACCAGTTACCCGGCCTGGTAAATCCACTATTTCAATGGCTACCTTAAAAGCTATGGAAAACCATAGGAAAACCATAGGAAAACCATAGGAAAATGGAGGTTTAATTGGGATTTAATTGGGATTTAATGGTGATTTTTGATGGTGATTGAATGGTGATTTTTGATGGTGATTCTTGATGGGATTTTTGATGGTTTATTAAGGTATGGTATATCAAAAAACTATGGAAAGATCCTCCATGTTCTAGCTGGGTAAATCCACTATTTCAATTGGGCCATTTTCAATAGCTATGTAAGAAATTACCAGAGTGATCCAGAGGGATTATATCATGTTTATGCCTACGGCTGCAAAACCGTACGTGCGTCTTGCTACTTTTTTGATGATTGCTCTTTGTCTCTGGGTTGGGGTGGGGTGGGGGGGGTGGGGTGGGGTATTAACGTCATGTGCAGAGTGCGTGGAACACGCTCTTGCCCAACATCACTTGCGTAGCACGCTCTGGATGTTACGCTCTGTCTTTTGCCTGCCACTTCTAACACGCTCCGCATGTCACGCTCTGCACTGTTTCCATGTGACTTCTAACACGCTCTGCATGTCACGCTCTGCACTGTTTCCATGTGACTTCTAACACGCTCTGCATGTCACGCTCTGCACTGTTTCCATGTGACTTCTAACACGCTCTGCATGTCACGCTCTGCACTTTTCCCACTTTTCTTCTAACACGCTCTGGATGTTACGCTCTGCACTGTTTCCACTTGACTTCTAACACGCTCTGGATGTTACGCTCTGCACTGTTTCCACTTGACTTCTAACACGCTCTGGATGTTACGCACTGCACACAGGGAAGATTGACTCTCTGTGGAATTTGGCTTAAAAAATTGTGCCTAGCAATTTGCAGACAAAAGTAGGGCAGAACAAAGATGTCATGCTGTACCTGCATTACTGGCAATGGCGTTATGAGTGCCATAATGGCAACTTGCTGTCGAAGACAGCTTCCAAACTGATGGATCGCTGAGCCGACGATGGGTGTTAAAAAAACTCGTCGAATCCACGTCTGATGCACATGGTATTTACATGTATTTTCAAGGATTTGTCAAAATTCAATAGATTTTGAAGCCACTTTTTTTCACCAAAATTGAGTTATCAAAAGAGTTCGGAAACACATTTTATATTGAACATTACAGGTGATTCTGACGGTCCTATTCAGCAAACCCTCAAAACGCTCGCGCGGTTTCGCATCCGCCGGGTTTTTGTTTATCTATGACCTGAGATATACTGTTGATAATGGGACGGGTATAACGTTATATAACATATATATATAAGATATGGTGTGTATAGTATATAGGATACACTTAGTGCTTGCTATATCAACGGAGAGAGATATGTTTATTATGGGATCTTGATAGATATATGATAGATATATAGGAAACACTTACTGTTAGCTAAAGCAATGGTGTTGTACGATGTTTATTACGGGATTTTGATATATATATATATATATACACCTATATGTGATTATATGTATGTAGAAAGCACTGAATACTACTGTAACTATTGTGGTGATAGTGAGATAGGATTTTGGTGTGATCTATATATTCTGTTTATTATGGGGTTTAGCCGGCTGAAATCGTTTTCTTGATGGGGATGATGTGGGTTATAGCGACAACTGCAATCAATAACACATGTGGTTCACCAATGAAGCGGCGGGTGTGTCTGAAAATTGGCTATGTAACTCCAAAATATGTAACTCCTCCATGGATAAGCCACCATGCTTCACCATTTCCCATTGTCAAACCACCATTTTTCCCAGCTTTCCATGCTTAAACCACAGCCTATCCCCACGGTTCACGGCGTAGCTACAGGTCCTGAAGCGAGCAACTCTGGCGTGTCCCGCCCACTCCAAAGCATGGATAAGGACGTCCTGTGGGGATCCTTTTTTGAATTTTACTGCATTTCACCCAACAAAAACAGCCGGGCAAAGCACACCTATTTTTGGGGGATCCGAAACTGGCGGACTGAATCGAGTATTGATGGTATCTAGATGTATCTAGTTCGGGTGATCTGAATATGTACCAAATTGTAGCAACATGGCACGTTGATTTGTTCATGGGTTCCAGGACAGATGACGTTCTGGGCAGCTGGAACCGCAGAACAGGGCTTTTGACACAGGAAAGCTTGGGGAAACCATGAAGAATAGCCCGAAGAATCCGATTTGGGAGTTATAAAACATACCAGATATTTTTTGTTTTCATGTAAAGATTCGCC